AAAAAAAAATAAATGAATTTTCTAATAATCAGATTATTCTTCAGTTAGAAAACAGCAGAGAGGTAATTTTAATTTAAAAATGAAGAGACAGAAATATTTTAAAGCTAAAATGTTATTTCTCCCAAATTACAAAGTGCTGCTCTCTGGTGTAATATTATTATTCTGTGTAGCAATTTATTAAATGAAGCAATTTATGGTAGCATCTCTGAAAAATGCCATCCTTTATTGAAATGAAAGCGAGTAATAGCATAAGGACTGTAAAATAAAAAGACAGAATATCTTCTTTTAGACCATTACAAAAATACATGTATTGTCTATTTGACAATCAATACACTACCATAAAATAAAATGGAGCTGTGGTATTATAATCATAATTTCTATTTCAAACGGTTTGCTGAGAGCCAAATTGTGTCTTTTATGGAAAAGAATGACAAATGGTTTAATTCAATATCACAGGCATGTGTATCTATGAGCTGAAATTCTGTTGCAACTCGAAGCCGTTAGGCAAATATTTTAGGATCATCACAAGTTTAAAAACAACAGACACGTGGGAGTACATCCATTTATTTACACTTGTACTGACTTAAAATTCAAAATGTTATTTGATGCTTTTAAAGTACTGCTGTGGGATGTTAAATTACTGATGAATTCTTACTGTTCTGAGATACCTTTCAACCTGCCAAGATGCGTGATGATGATGATGATAATAATAATAACAGCGGTAGTGCAGGGATATTTAAAATAATGCGGGGCTCGTTCCTGTAAGATAAATACCATTTTCCCTAACCCCCGTTTTATGATTCAGCATTTCTGATGCAACAAAGTGAAATAATGAAAGTAAAATAACAACAGGTTTGTGTGGGATGGGAAAAGGAGAATGAGCACGTGCATTGTCAGAATATCTTCAGAAATTGTAGGAAAAAAAAAAAAAAAAAGCTCTTATAAATGGCACTTCCCTCTTCCTTCCCCCCCCCGCCCACCCCGGGAAAATTCCTCCTCTTGTTTTTACTGTTCAATACATTTCCTTCTTTTATTCCTTTTTCTGATCTCGTCCTTTTGTTCCCTTTCCCTCCTCAGATGCTTCCCCTTCCTCCTGGCAGCAGGAGGCTGCTGGCAGCCGGGGACAGCGAGCCAGGGCTGCGGGCCGGCCTGGGGCTTGTCGCAGGTGAGCTGCTGCTGGCAGCCGGGGACACCGGTGCCCGAGGAGGAGGAAGATGGGAGCCCACAGTTTGCTGCCATGTACGTACAGGGCCCGTTTCACTCCTGCCTTTGTGCCTCTTCCCCGGGGACAGGGTGGGGACGAAGCCCCTGCGTGTGGCACTGGGAGGTTTCTGCGCCTGCCTTGCTCCGGGCTGGGGGGGAAGGAGGAGGAGGAGGAGGATGTGAGATGGCAAATATGTTCTCAGGCGAGGACAGGGGCTACCAGCCACCCCTCTCAGCCGCACTTGGCGTGGGCTGGGAGGCACAGAGGTGGGTGCTACCTGCTGCCTGCCCGCCATCTCCGTCCAACGGAGCATGGCCAGGGTCCCTCCGGCCGCGGCCACCGCTGAGGCAGTGACAATCCCAAACGGACCCCACAGAGGTGGGAGAGGGCTTTTTAGCCTCCTTGCTACCCAAACAGTTTTATCGCCCACAGGCACACGGGAAGTGTGGCCGCGGGGCCTGGTGTGACAGGAGACCTGTGCTTTGGTGAGGGACTAGAGGTCACGGCTGCAGGGGGTCGGGGGGGGGTGGCTTCTGGAACAGCTGAAGGTGTAATTCCTCAAAAGAGCAGTGCACCTGTGACCATTTGATGAGTAAGGGCGTACGATCATTAACACCTGTGTTTACTCTCCCCAGGCACAGGCCCCGGCCCGGCGGGTGGACACCGGTGTTGGCAGTCGGCCGCGTCCCCTCCAGCCCCGCAGGTTTGTCACTTCCCCGGGACTGGTCTCTGTCCGTGTCTCAGCCCGAATGGGGACGGCGGGACAAAGCGCGGTAGGTGCCTTCATTTTGCCGGCCTTGCTGCAGCCACCCCCATGGCTCCTGTGCTGGCAACAGCCGGGGCTCGCACCGAGGGGGGGCTCTGGGGTGCGGGGGGGTCCCTCCGGCCGCGGCCACCGCTGAGGCAGTGACAATCCCAAACGGACCCCACAGAGGTGGGAGAGGGCTTTTTAGCCTCCTTGCTACCCAAACAGTTTTATCGCCCACAGGCACACGGGAAGTGTGGCCGCGGGGCCTGGTGTGACAGGAGACCTGTGCTTTGGTGAGGGACTAGAGGTCACGGCTGCAGGGGGTCGGGGGGGGGTGGCTTCTGGAACAGCTGAAGGTGTAATTCCTCAAAAGAGCAGTGCACCTGTGACCATTTGATGAGTAAGGGCGTACGATCATTAACACCTGTGTTTACTCTCCCCAGGCACAGGCCCCGGCCCGGCGGGTGGACACCGGTGTTGGCAGTCGGCCGCGTCCCCTCCAGCCCCGCAGGTCTGTCACTTCCCCGGGACCGGTCTCTGTCCGTGTCTCAGCCCGAATGGGGACGGCGGGACAAAGCGCGGTAGGTGCCTTCATTTTGCCGGCCTTGCTGCAGCCACCCCCATGGCTCCTGTGCTGGCAACAGCCGGGGCTCGCACCGAGGGGGGGCTCTGGGGTGCGGGGGG